TTTACCTGATGGATGAAGAGAAAAAAAACTTGCTTTAAAGAAGGGACCTGGGTCGTATCTAGGGACCACGATATCATGGACACCTGGGGCTGGGCTCTTTTGACTTGTTTTCTAGCCACTGAGCAACCACCCAGAAACACTAGCACTCACCTAGAAATCATATAGTAAAGTGCTAACAACCACTCAATACACCATAACATTTGCATTATGGGAGTTTTCTAGTTAAATAATTGCAACTGCATTCTGTAGACCAGGGTTGTACAATCCTGCTCATGGAAGACAACCTTCCTGTGGAGTTTAGTTCTAAACTGCCTGCTTCTAGCAATCATGAGGATCTTGAAAATATAAGGTTGGAGCTAAACTCAACAGGAAGGTAGACCTCCAGGAGCAGGATTGGATACCCCTGATCTAGAGATCTATCCATGTTAGATGCACTTTCATTACATTAATATTCAGGCTGTTCTCATTTCTTCCTTTGATCGTCTGCAGCACCCTGTCAGCCCTCATCAGTACAGGCCGATGTAGACTGTCAGTTGAAGGATGTGTTTGTGTCATGGGACCCATCATACGTGGCGCAGTCGTACCTGCTTACTGTAGTCGGCAGAAATGGAGACTTGAAGACGTGCAATACCTCGGACAATAACTGCACGCTAACCGATCTGCGTTGCAGCAACACCTACTATGTGTCCGTTTTAGCCAGTAATGAGAACTGCACCAGCCTGCCCAGTGCTAACATCACCTTCCAAACGGGTAAGAGAACACAAATTATTTTCCTTTAAATTCCGTGACCAAAGTTTTTACATTGTGTTAATATTTATTGCAATGTGTTTATTCTATAGTGCTATGTGAGCCAGCCAACTTAACTGCAAACATACAGTGTGGGAACAGTAGTAGTGCCTCATTGTCATGGGTGGGGAGTACAGGGGCGGTGGTCTACACGGGACTTGCTCAGTCAGAAACCGGCACAACAGTCTACTGTGAAACCACACACACGTCCTGCACTCTGGAGGGCTTAGTGTGCGGCACTGTGTACAACTTTACAGTGCAGGCAAAGGATGGCTTCTGCAACAGTTCCTTGAGTGAACCTCAAACTAAGGGAGCAGGTACAACAATCAATTTGGTTCAGTTTATTGGTATGTTTTCTGCACTTGTGTGTCTACCAAAAGAACCAAGTCCACTCTTGTATGGTTGTCAGTTAGTATGAAAGTAACTTGACCCAATTTGCAGAAGTAAACCACTACTGATAAAGATCTTCAAGGATCTACTTTTAGCAGAGCAGAGCCAAGAAATAGTTTCGGCACCTTCTTCTGAGTCATTACCTACCTGGTTAGCAGCTACTTACATTAACAATGTGACTGTGAGTCGGATATCACATTAAAAAAAAAAAAAGGTCTTCTAGGAGAATAGAATCAAATATGTGTTCAGACCATCTATGTACACAAAATCAGAAAGTATATAATGTAGGCAAATCTATACTATTTTGATTCTGCTTCTTTGGGATCCCCATTGGGAAAACAGGTTTTAAGTCTCTTTGTCCGTGTCTTTCCCTCAGCTCCCTGTCCTCCAGCTGGATTGAGGGTTGTCCCTCGTACAGTAGAGAATGATACTCAGATCTTGAGGGCATCTTGGTCTACTGTGAATTGTCCTAATTCTGAATACCTCCTGGCACTCACGGGCAGCATTCAGGGCAACAGCCAGGCACTCTTTGACCTCGCCTCCTATTGGACAAGTCGCAGGTTCTTTGAGGTGCCCCTCCCTTGTGGCTCCTCCTACAGCGCAACCATCAGCGCGAGGAACTCTGCCGCCACAAGCGACAAATCTGCTGCCATCACTGGAACCACAGGTGCACAATGTTCAGTCACCACAGTACTACCTTCTTACCCTACTTAAATGGAAAATGAAGATGCCTAAAATGCAAAAACATACATAACTCATCGGTTTGTTTTTTTCCCCCAGTACCTTGTGCCCCTCTGAATGTGACGTTCTCTGCATCATCGGTGGAAGTAGCATGGAAACAGTCTCTATTTGCTACAAACTACACTGTGTATGGGGTTAATTCTTCTGGTAGGACGAAACTCTGCATGACCTCACAGCTGCTCTGCTCTGTCACCAATTTCAGCGGTGGCCACATTGTCGTAACTGCCAGCAACACTGCCGGGGAGAGTGAAGACTCAGTGCCTGTTTCAGGTAAGTAGGTGATTTTAGAGAGCAAGAATCAAATATCAGAGCAGTAGTAATTTTCACTAAGACATAGGCTTGTCAAAATCTTGCTTTGGTGAAAGTCCTGTCACCTTTGACCTTGCCCATCCTTTCGCAGTGACAGCAGGTCGCAGGAGGAGGTGAGACCTGGCACAAAGTGAGAAGGTGAGTTGATGCTCAACAGCAGAAATGAAAATTCATGAAATTTCTTTTCTCAGATTAATTATCAAAATGGAGAAATAGACTTTATTTAGGGTAAATGGTATATTGAACTTAACACAAAAGAAACCGAACCTCATTCCACATGCAAAAGAGTGATGCCACCCAATGTTTGCTTTTAAAGATTTATCCACAACAGCGCCTTTCCTTAACATCTTAAAAATATATTTACAAGCGACAGAAAATGTTTTAAGTCTTAAAAAGGTTTCCAGTGTTAACCCTTGATTCTCTCCACTCTAGGCCCGACCAACCCTGAGTAAATGCTTGCATCTCATCGCACTCAAACTCTTGCCTCTGAGAATTCCTGCACTTACCTAAGAATTTGTGAAACTCTGTGATATTTAACTTTTGCATGTTACATCAATTCTGGTTCACGGTTCTTTTTTTTTAAACAATATTTAAGGGTGAAATAGATTGACTGGGTGTAAGATTAACTATTTCTTTTAAAATGTTTTCCAAAATCTGTTGTTTCTGGCTGAAGGATTTACTTTCATGCAATGCCAAATATTTAAAAAAAAAAAGTCTTATATAAATGTATTCCTGTTTTTGTATACGAGTAGTTATATTAAATACAAAGAGCATTTCTCCATGTGATCAGTCTTATAAATTATGACATGTAAAGCACATGTAAAATAAATTAACCATATACAAAACAGCTGCTCTTCTTATAAAATGAATGTTCTTACAAGGAACTGAAAAGGGCACAGCAGTGAAAGCAAAAAAAGCACTGTAAAAGACTGTATTTAACATCTTTAAGTGAATGAACTACTCATCCCATGAACCAACACAACTGACAACAGAATCAAGTTGATAAAATAAAACTATTGACTATAAACAATTTTAATTATAAAACAGTGCATTTTGTTTAATTTTTACAATTTATTTCAAGATATTAATACTTGTACAAGCAATTTGAGAGTAAAACTGACTACATTATCACAATACTTCATGCGAATGGGTAGCCGCTACTTTTCTCACCTACACAGTTCTGATCTCTCTTTATAATTATGGATATTACTGTACTGCAAAAAATAAAGTTGAAATCATACAGCAGAAGCACATGTCTTAATTTAACAACCGAAAATCTCATGGCAGGTTTGTCTTGAAAGGTTGACATGTCGACACAAACTCTATAAAGAAACTATGAAGAAAATGAGTGACATTTTTACATACAGAACCCAACCGTTTTGATTAATGACATCAAAAATATACAACTGAGCAATTTTGTTCCATAAGAATTTTATTAGAAAACGAGATGCAACAGAGCAATGAAACAGTACAATGTCAGCACAGATTTCAGCGGCCTGTGCCACAAACTCAACTCTGTGGTAGCTCTGTTGAAATTTAAAACATTCTCTGAGCTCTATGTACAAAGCCATTTGTGAAAATCCAAAAAACAAATCGGGGGAGAAAGGGGATTTAAAAAAAAAAAAAAAAAAAAAAATTTTTACCGGTCTCTGCTTTTGCTCCTTGAGCGTTTGCTCCTCTTTTCTTCCCTGTGCTTTCTATCCTCCTTATCTTCCTTGTGCCTCCTCTCTTCCCCCTCTCCTTTACTCCTCTTGTCTTTTGACCTCTCCCTCTCTTTATGGTGCTCTCTGTCTTTCCTGCGACTACGCTCTCTCTCACTCTCTGCCTCCCTCTCTTTATCTCTGTCTTTCCTCTCGTTCCTCTTCTCTCGACTGGTGCTGTGACTCCGGCGTGGTTCCCTGCTGCGACTGCATCGACGTTCTGTGGTTCGGTCTGGTGTTCTGGAGCGTCGTCTATCTCTGTCTCTCTCCCTGTCCCGCTCCCTGTCTCTATCCCTATCCCGGTCCTTTCCCTCCCGTTCTTTTCGCTGCCGGTCTCGTTCTCTCTCCAGCTCACAATCAAAGCTGGCGCCATGCTTTTCTCTGTGATGGCTGCGACTCCGGGAACGATTTTGGGATCTCCCGGGACTCTGACTTTTCCTAGGTGTCCTAAACACACACAAAAAAACACAATTATTGAACATAGCACATATATACTAGTGAACAAAATAGAAGAGTTCGCGGTGATTCTGAAACAACAATTCTATTCCCTGCATTCAGATCACAACATTACAAGGTACTGTATATACAGAATCTCATACAGACAAGTATAACTCGGCAGAAATTAGAAATGTGTAAATTTCTTTAAAGGGGAACAAAGTTTTGGGCTAACTGCTAAAGTTCCACACAGAAAGTAATCGTATTTTTGAAAAATTGAGATGAGATTGACTTTAGTCATATCTGTCTTGGTGGAAAATATGTCTACATTTTACATGCTGCTGGGAGCACGTTCATGAGCCATCCAAATACAAACCAAGGAAAAACTTATATCAAATGCCAAGCATTAACAATCGCCACACCAAAAAACAGAACTCTAGCAATTTGGTTACAATACACTACAGCTGTCTGACATGTACCAGCATTAACCAACAACACAAGAAATTAGTTGAGCTTAAATCCAACAATGCCCATTATATGTATCCATTATTTACAAACAATTACACAGAAATGGCAAGTACCACTTTGAATTAAACATGAAGTAGAAAAACTGAAATGTTATTTTCTTGTAAAACAATCCAGTAATCTTTGTTTTATTTACAGAGTAGTTATGGCTCGTCTTGAATAGTTAGTCCATTCAAAATGGTTGGTGATCCTTTAAAACAGCTGAACAAAACTAACTTACTCAGGGTTTCTGCAGACATGAACAAGTTAAATGTAAGACTTTTTAAGACCTTTTTAATACCACCTTATATGAAATTTAAGACCTAAACCTGTAATGGGAATACACATTTTATTACATACATATGTAATAATATTTAATCTGTATAAATTAAAAAGAATGAATGATATTTATTACTACGATATACAGTGAACTTTTCATGTCAGCAGACAATATTCCATACAAAATATCCCTGCAAAATAACTGCATCACTGAGATTTTTGGTGGAGCAAACAATTTATTCTGAAGCAATATTTTCATCAGTGTTCTGTCAGCTTTTACATACTTAAACCTGCATATTTACCTTTACAAAGGCCTATTTTTAACCTTTTTAGATGTATGCATAATCTTACATGTCAAATTATTACAATTTATCAATAAATTCAACATACACTATAGGGCTGCTACATGTCAGATTAAATAATTTACACTGCAAATAACAATAATTACAACTGCAATAAATAATGTTATGAGATTAATGTTTTAAATGCATTTATGAGTATATAAATAAGAAATGTTGAGGGCAAAATGCATACTTTCCAACATACTTCTCAACTAAACTACCAGTAAGTGGCGGTAAGTCACTTAATGAGTGAGTCACTGAGTCATTCATTCAACTGATTGAGTGTGTTATCATGCTGCTATCTTAAGGACTTTCGTGGACAGCTGACTCCTA